CCAGTCAGAAACATGACTACAAATTACTGTTACAAGACTTTCGATCGAAAACACATCAACGAATTTATAGTTAAAGCAAGCTATCAACTGAATTTACCCATAGATACCTTCTTAAAATGGAAAGCTAAAATTCTTCAACGCATATCCACCGAAATCAGTCACCTCAAATTTAAAAGTACACTGAATTGGTCGCAACTTACATCAGATATTAATAAATTAAAACAGCTTTTTTACTATTACAAAATAGATAAAGCAACTAATAACTTTAGCATTATATGAAAACAATTCTACGCTGAAATTATTCATAAAGAACTTCTCAACGCAACTACTTATCAATTAGCCAACCTTACAGAAACATCTATAATAAACAGGATTAAAACTTTTCATAAGAAACTCAATATTACTTTCAATGCAAATTACAACAGATTTACTAATCTTTATGCGATTCCATTCCCAAATTCCATAAAACACCATTAAAATTTAGATTTATAGCTAATGGAACTAATAATTACAAGAAAAATGTAGACTATTATTTTTCAATTCAACTTAATAAAATCTGTAAATTTATTTTCAATGATTGTAACACTAATCATAACTATTGCTGGATCATTCATAATAACACTCCTGTCATTAATACCATTCAAACCATTAACATCCAAAACATTAACTGCTATGATTTTGAAAACTTATATATACCTCACTTCCTCTAGAAGAAATCTATACCAGTCTACTTGATCTACCTAAACTTTTCCCTAATATACTCAATATCATGACTCTTGACAAATGGAAAACCTACCTAAAATGCACACTTTTTCATAACTACATCAAGTTTCAAAATCAACTTTTTAAACAAGTCAGAGGATTGCCAATGGGCTTACATTCCAGCACCTCGATCTGTAATATCTTTTTATTTGTCAAAGAATTTAACTTCCAAAAAAATCTACAACCACAAGAGTTAAATTACTACAAACACACCTACAGATATATTGATGACCTTATTACAATTAATAATTTTGGTAAAATTGAACACTCCGAGATTTATCCGAATTGTCTTACACTTAATAAAACTAATAATTCACAAAATAGCATAGACTTTCTAGATCTTCAAATCATTAACTACAAAAAAATTTTACTTTTTGACAAAACAAGAAACTTCAATTTCAATACTAACAAATTAATAAATTGGAACTCCAACATATCCAAAAAAGTAATTAACAATACTATAATTAATCAAATACAACGAATTAAAACTATATGCACAGATACAATAGATTTACAACGCGAAATTTTGATCCTTATCAAAATTCTCAAAAATAATCTAATTCCCATTCAATTTATCAACCATTGCCTTAAAAGAGCAGGCGTTAAATACTCACTCTAAATCATTTAACTGATAGGGATATGATAATTTTATTCCTAAACCTGAGAAGGCGGTATAAGTTGGATGACTGTCAGTTGGAAGATTTGTATATAGTGTAATTACTCAATTGTATATATTGTAAAAAGCTAATTGTCTTCATACTGACATATACTGTTACTAAAAAAATGGGCCTATTTCATGCCTTTAGACTGTCTATAGCTCTTGGACAGTGAAAATTGCCTTTTTCCTTTCTTAAATTCTTAATCATTGCGACACGACAATTAGCCAGAAATTAATTAATTTCCATTCACTAGTATTTTCAAAAAAATCTTAACAGACGGTCTCTCTCAGATAAGAACTCCACAAAATACATCCCTCAAGAATTCCAAGTCCCACCCACTACCATAAATTACTTCACCCAAGTCTTACCGACTGATATTATTCAAAGCCCCTACTGCCGCTAAGAATTTTCGGACACCCTACACTTCTGAGTCAGACACGAAGAGAACACTTTGCAAACTTCCCCACTAGAAAGAATGTAAGTTACTTAATACCTTTTCTGGCCTTTATATCTTCATGTACATTCACTGATCTTATTTATATTATTTTCTATATTATTTTTTATATTATCTTTGATTTGTTTTTACAAAGTTTGCATTATTTATCTTTTTTTATAATCTTCTATGTTTATTTCAACTTTTCTTTGAATTCGATTTCATAATGACAATTTCCAATGTTTAATTTCTACAAATAATATAGTACTCAAATGGATAAACATGAAAGTGTCGGGGACGGTTACTCGAGTTTAATAGGATTTCTCTACAGTAATTGATTTTTACTCCAAATTGAATTGACTAAACTACTTCATAAGAATAAGTTCTTTGAGTATCAGCATTGGTTCATAATTCCTACTATTCGCGGAAATATTTGGCCTGACTAGAATTGCCGGTTTGGCTTTAACTAATAACTCGAGTAAAGACGAAACACTTTCGTATTTACGTATTTTTATCAATTATTGTTCATTGAGCGGGAGTTGGTTTGTTACCCTTGAAAAGTCAACTAATTTCCGATCAATGACAATGATTACATGTTTTAATTTTTCCTTTTACAATTGAAATTTTATTCTTCGTGATGATTTAACTCCAGTCCCCGTTAAAACATTATTAACATTTTGCTTTCAAATTACTTCAAAACATCTTTCAAAATATAACTTACCAGTATGGATGCACACTTTTAAAATAATTCTACTTTAATTTAACTTGGGAGATAATATAATCAATTAATCAATACTGTTTAGGAAATAAATTATCTATCTATCTATATGTATATTTAATAAATGCTTCATACAATTAAATATAAGAATAATAGAAGAATTTTTGAAAACATCGATGTAAAGTTAAAACTGAAAATGTCCCGTCTGTAAATCTAGCGTAACTGATGTGTACTCTTAGGAGAGCGAATCATCCTGCAGTTAAGTTAGAACATTTGTTCTCATCAGTAAAAGTTGACGCCATATTCAGTTCAAATTTATCAGAAAAACTAGGTTCTAAGTCTCTTAATTCACTCGCAGTGTTACAAAATTACGAGGAGTGTACTTTGTACTCATTTTAATCCGTACTCTAATCATCTTCATAATTCGCTGGATAAATTCTTCCAGTATTCCAGCAGTTTGCTTATAATTCAAATTTTAGATTTGTGCAGTAATACTGTTGTACAGTCATGCATATATAAATCAATCACGAATAATATTCTCTATAATAGAAATATAATACTGTTGCATGCGTACGAGTTCGTTACAGATTCAATGCACACAGATCCAATGATAGGTTTATAGAATTTATTTTATCAAAACGAACACTTCAGATATCTAGAACTTTCCATAAAAATAGTCATATAACTCTTCTCAATATCACGAACTGCAATCAGTAGTTACACTTCAGACTACTATGAACGTTAAACATAACGCAATGCAAAGCGCAGTTAAAGAGAAAGCTAAATCTCAATACTCCAAATTTAAGCTGAGCTTATAACTAACTATAACTGACAGCAGATACTCTCTCCGGCCTTATATAGTTTTCAACCGACTACCGAGATATTTCTAGTACTTTCTGCTTATCGAACTTACTGGAAACCAATACGAGGGTCAAATTACGGTTGCAGCTAATATAGTCATCAATTATATTTATTCAATTACAATACAGGTACCGGAACCAAATGTCGCCAAACGGTAGCGAGGTTTGGCGACTTCTGGCGATTTCTCGAGAAATTTGAGACAAAATAAGTCGCTAAAACCGTTTTCAGCTTGGCGATATGTCGCCACATTACCGAGATATCCATTTACTCAATGTTAAATGCACTTGGTTCTGTATTCTTACTTTTCCGGCATAGGTTATCCTTTTAGATTTTCTTATGTTATATTACATAGAAAAATACTAAATTTCACATATAATTGCAGTAAAATCATCTATCTATGTACAAAATTTATAAAAATATTTAAAAATACTTATTCAAAATTGCTAAATTTTTTTTCTTATATTCACGATAAATATCTTCAGGAAGAATGTCCAAATAATTCACATAAAAGCCTGAGAAATGAACGTTCGAATCAGTGTAAAATACATTCCAAATATTCTTTTAACAAGTGATAAGACAGGCAGACTGAGAAAAGCTTTTCAATAACAAAAAGGGGTTGATTTCTTTTCCTTGTACATAGAAACGCCAAAAACAAGGATAATTTTGATATCTTCAACAGATAATTCCCAGTCGTGTTTAAAACTTAACCGAATATGAAGACATGAATACCTATACATAATTTTCATTATTTTATAACGAACAACATTACTTTATAGGCTATTTCTCCCGCCTTCCTATCGTGCCTTCGTGGTGTAGTGATCAACACACTGAACCGGTATTTCAGAGGTCCGTGGTTCGATTCCCGGCGAAGGTGATTGCTAATTTTTCATCTTTGCTCCAAAAATACCTAATGGCTCTACAGTGGTGCCCGAACTAAAAGGGTAGTGGTTGATGAATCTCCACATCCAGGATTTGGTGATTGGGTCCTCTAAAAATCCTAGTCGCCCTTTAAAAGGGGGAGGGTATAAGGTATTTCTCCCGCCTTCCTAGTGTGCTTTCGTGGTGTATTGGTCAGCACACTGAACCGCTATTTCAGAGGTCCGTCGTTCGATTCCCGGCGATGGTAGTTGGTAATTTTTCATTTTTGCTCCAAAAATACCTAATGTCTCTACAACTTTATCATTAAAAACCTGAAAAAATTTATTTATAAAATATACAGAAATAATAAAGATAAAAACGGAATAATGCCGAATCCAATTAAATTCATATATATGATATTGGTAGCAAATTTATGGCAACATTTCGTACTAAATATTATTATCAAAGACATAAAACCAGTTATTTTGCTTATAAATTTACCTAATTTTCATTTTTTTACAACGAACAACTTTACTTTAGCATTGAAAATCTGAAAAACATTATTTATCATTATAAAACTAAACAGAAATATGGAAATGGAACGATGCAGAATCCAATCAAGTTCATAGATATGATATTGTAACAAACTCATGGTAACATTCCATTTTAAACATAATTAACAAAGACATAAACCAGTTATTTTGCTTACAAATTTAATTGCCTTTTCTGCCGGGGTTCCATATGTAACGTATTAAAGGAATCATTGTTATTCTCTTCTACAAAATTTTGGAATCGTGTGTCACTTATTTCACCAGTTCCTAGAGGAAAAATAAAAATTAATTACGAAAGTATAAAAATAACCAAATATGCTTTGAACTTAAGGTGCGTAGACAATTTACTTGAGAAAGAGCCGTTTATTCCATACGCTTTAGAAAATAAAACATCCTCTTTTAAAAATAAAATAATAACTCTCGTTTCACTAACTTACCATTTTCACTAAGTTTCTAAGCGTTTAAAAAATGTTAAAAGAATTAAGAGCATAAATTAAAATTTACTAACAATAATTTTAGCTGTAAAACTTTACAGGATAAATCACTTTTAATGAAACTAATTTTCACATCTGCTTTTTCATTCAAAATCAGTTTCAAATTATAAAAACAAGGAAAAAATTAACATTGTTAGTTTGCTAATGCTAAGTTATATATTCTAGGATGTATTATTATAAAATTAAAATATAACTCACGTGAAACAAGTGGAAAAGATGAACTAATTGTGACAGCATACACTGGTATAAGAAGGATTAGTCTGAAATGAAAATCGAAACTTTTATTAAAGGTAAGGTATTCAATAAATAAAAAAGGTCTTGGTTTAAGGTTTAGTTAATTGACTAATTTTTAATGGCTATTGAATTAAAATTCTTCTATGTGTACTTTATGAAATGCTGGGTCAATAAATTGGAAGCAGGGCCCCCTCAGACGGTATAGTGGTCAGGGGCGCCTGGCTGCGATACCGATAGGCCCCAGATTCGAATCCCGGAGAAGGCATGGATGTAAAACTGTCTGTCCTTTCATAGGACGTAACGCTTTAAATTGAGCCTGTCTTTAGAATTTCTGACACAGAGTCTCGCACGCTGGAGAAAAAATGTTTTTTCTGTACAATGTTGCCATTTCTCGCTTTGAAATCCTTGACTTTGTTAATCAAAAATTCGTTAAAGATTTACAAAATATGAAATCGATTATAAAACAAATTCCAAATTTCAAATTTGGTCTTCCACTTGCCCATATTTGTAGGAGGATTACGTCATTCAAAATTCTATGGCTCTATGACCCGTTGTTTCATCACAATGCGAGAAATATACATACATTTATGCAGTTTTTCATTATTTAATTTCTTCAAATATAATGCAGGACATTTGGTGGCAACAGTTTGAAAAGTGAAACAGACATTTATAGTAAACCAACGCAAAATCACAAAACGAAAAGAATAGTCCTTCAGGGACAAAGCCTCTTTGGACTAAAAATAAAATAAAAACGCTTCGTTAAGTAATGAACTTAGGAATGTTTTAATATATACTAAAAAAGAAATGCAAACTACATGTTCTGATTGATGTTCTGGGAAAACCGTTTTTACCCTAGCCTAATAAACTGGAATAGGGAAGAATGTAAAATTTGTATCAGATCTAGTAAAACTAGAGTTGGACGGAAAATCGGAAATTAAACATAGTACATATATGGGAAAAAAAAAAACAGATACTGAGTACGAGAAATAACATGTACTTCTAAAATTCTTAAAGCCTAATTCTTCTGACATCTCTTGGTGTATTATCAGTTCTTAATGAAATTCGAAATGAAGTATCCATGACGAAGCAACTCAAATCGAAAAGAAAAATTTTAATCAAGTCCTCAAGGAAGAACTGGAATATTGTCAGTGTGAGGCTTCACAACGATGGCCCTTCGTAAAGGTTTAGGGCCTTTACACAAGTCGGTAACTGTTTGATAAGATAGAAAGTTTCAAAAAGATGCTTCGGCAGAAAGACGCCCTGCAACATGTTTATTTTTTTTAATCTTACACCCGTCTTCTGCCAATCTTCCTAGTTCTGTTAGAATTACTTGTAATTTAATAAAAAAAGTTTCATTATAATAAATGGCATAATAAATAGTCAAACTCTGAAAAAAGAAATCATTATATTAACAATTTGGATTTTGTGAAACACAAATCATTATTTCCAATAAATAACATAGATGCCAATCAATTTTTAACGGGGCATGGCCCGTTTCCCTGACTATCTCTCAAGATTTAAATTACAAACAAATAATATGTGTATGACATGTAACACATTGGGCGACGCTCAGCACTTCCTCTGCGACTGTAAACTTACTCTACACATTGTTAAAAAATATGAAATTGGCAATGATCCTTTTGCAAATTACAATAATTTTATTAGTTGTTGTAAGGAGATTATGAAAATTATAAACAGTGAGCGGCGAGCGGTTGGTATAATGATTCATTGATTGTTTGAAAACATTCCTGGTGGTGTGTTCTCGTTTTTCTTATGCGTTTTATGTAGTATTGTCCATTTCCTTATATATTATTTTGTTCGTAACATGCATTTTATTTTGTTAGTTATATTTTGTTGTTCTCTTCTTTCCTTTTGTGCCGTTGAAAGGCAGATCTAAAATATGTTGGTGTTCTTGTTCTTTGTATTTTGATGTTCATTCTGTTGTAAAGATCTGCCTGTTTCTTTTATTTCTTTTCTTTGCTTTATTTCTAACTTTTTAGTTACTCGGGGCTCTGGGCCTTGGTTTCCCGGAACATGGGGTGTCGTTTGGGGGCTCGGGCCGCTGGGTGTCCTCGTTTGTGGTTTTGGATTGGACGTAGTCCTATGACCATTGAGTCAATCTTAAGATTGACAGGGGGGTCGGACTGCGTCCATACTTAATACTTAATACCCGTCTTCTGCTATTAGTCGACAAGCAGCCCAATAAAATGGCGAAACGTAAGGATAAAAATTAGCCTCCATGCAGTTGTCTGTAATGAACTTTAAAATATACGGCAGCTCTTGAGGTGGTTACCATTCATATCACCCTGATGACACACAGGGCAACAAGCTGAATCCTTGACTCCAATCCGATGTGAATGTTGCTGTAAATAATCATGCCAGTTGCCAAACGAAAGCAAGCAACTCCAACAGCACTAGATAAGTAATTCGGAATTTTATTTCTTTTGTTGAGCAGGCTATTCCACTTCTTATCCACTGCTGCATCAACGTATAAAGATATTCTGCTCTTTTTTACTTTATTGCATAGAATTCTTTTAATAATACGCAAAGGTAAAAAAAAATCAGGTTGGGCCATAAGGGTTCAGGCCTTGGCAAGTTTATGTGCCTGTTCCCACCATTTCCGAAACATTATAAGTTATTATTCCTGCCTTCCTAGCGTGTCTTCGTGGTGTAGTAGACTGCACTCTGGGCCGGTATTCCAGAGGTCCGTGGTTCGATTCTCGGCAAAGGCGGTTGTTAATTTTTAATCTCTCCGGCTTTTCGAATAAACCTAATGTCTCTACAACATAATAAAATGGCTCGAAATCCATTACAGGTGTAGAGACATTAGGTGTTTTGGAAGTAGGAAAAATGAAAAATGAGCAACGCCTTCGCCGTGAATCGAACCAAGGACCTCTGGAACACTCGCCCAGCGTGCAGACCCTTACGCCACGAACGCACGCTAAGAGGGCGAAGAAATACCTTATATATTCTCTCTTTTAAAGGAAGACTGGGATTTTAGGAGACCCAATCGCCAAATCCTGAATGTGGAGAATCATCATCCACCACCCTTTTTAGTTCGGGCGTCACTGTAGAGACATTAAATATTTTGGAAGCAGGAAAGATGAAAAATGAGCAACGTCTTCGCTGGGAATCGAACCACAGACCTCTGGAATACGCACCCAGCGTGCAGACCACTGCACTACGAAGGCGCGATGAATACTTTATAAATGTTAATGTTCTTTCTGTTTTCCCGTAGATCAAAATGTTTCATTTTAAAAGAATGAACTTGGGCAGTTTCGTTATAGTTAGAACTGGTAAGTGACAAAATAGCAGTTTGTGAACTTGTAAGGATCTTAAGTTTTACTAACGTTTATTTTATTTTAAATCTTTACTATCACTTCTTATTTTCTACTTCCGGCCAGAATTAAAAGCGTTAACTTATTATGCAAATTTGTCTGGCGAACGCCAAGTATTTAAGTTGTGGCTTTTTGCCAAGCGAGAGAGAGGAAGGAAGAGTTAGTCGAAGCAGGCCGCTTACCTTAGAAGTTTTACTCAGTTGCTGGTTGCCTTCCAGGCCAGAGGTTTAATCCTCTTGATAATTTTAAACGTATTGTAGTGTTAACAGTTTCTCTGTACTACATACGGCTTCCTGTTAATATAAGGCCAATCTTCCACGTTTATTATTTCAAAGTTTAAGTTAGAGTTTAGTTTCTATTTTTATATTCTTACGTTTAGACCACAAGTAGTGGGTCTTTGTATTCCGAAGTACGGAAATTATTGTAAATAGAGAAAAATTAAGGGTTTTGTATACCCTTCTTGTGTATCCTGTCTACTTCCCACAGTTATTGAACATAGCTTTAGTAAGCTCTCTGTTCCGAGTCAGGTCCTTGCATGTTCCCAAAGAAAGTAAGACGGAACATTGAACCTGATAGTGGCGCCCAACGAAGAAGAATAACCATGGCCGAGTTTCAAGAAGAACCTGTGCTGCCTGCAGAAGCGGCTCAGAATCCAGAAATGCCAGCTGCCGCCCTGGAAGGATTTGGTTACATCGTCCAGACCATGCGCGCTTCGATGAAACCAGAAGCAACATTTAATGGAAACTCACCGGTAACCAGTTTTTTTTGGGAAAATTGGATGACCACTTCATGCTCTACCCCGTGCACGAGAATTTTCAAAAAGTTACCTTAGCTACCAGCGCTTTGAGGGGCCAAGCGCTTAACTGGTTCAAATGTATAGGCAGAAGTCTCTTGGGTCAAGCAGGAAGTCCCACCTATACTTACGAAAATTTCAAGACTGCCCTACTAAAAGCCTTCCCTGTTGTAAGGGATCGTGCGAAAATTAGAAACGAACGTTTTCAGTATATATCAAGCAAAGAATCGAAAAATCTCTCAAGTTTTATTTTAAGAAAAATTCACGTCTTCAAAACTCTTGTATGGAAACCGTCCGGATCCTGAGATAATTCAAGTGATTTTGCCGAGGTTACTGCCCCAAGTGCAAGACTTTATTGAATTAAGAAATCCGACTACACTGGAAAAGTTATTTGAGCTAGCAATCCAGTTTGAAAGTAGAAGAACGGCGGACATTGAAAGAAGACGCCAATATCAACAGCGAAACCAATTTGGTGCGCCAAGACTACAGCAAACTCAAGCACACGGCTACGGAAGCAAAGCGAATCAGTGGGCAAGGAAACCCGAGCATTCAAAAACAGCCGGGGGGGAACGTCGACAGTTCAATAGCAATCCAGGAAAAAAGTCTCAAGGCCAGTGGAAAAAGAAGGAAAGCACGGAAATGAAAAAATAATTTAAACTAAAACGGATTTCTGCTGACGGGAGGGTGTGCGGAAATCCGAAGGCCACGAGAAAACCCCTCTTCCTTCAAGTTAAATACAGTAATGGTGAAAAATTTGACTCTTCCGAAGATTGAAGTGTTGGTGAATAATATCCCAGCCACCGCACTCCTGGATACAGGCGCGCAGTGTTCCTGTGTGGCAGAAGATTTTTTTAGGAAGTATTTTCGTAAATACCGCATATATAATTCGGATAAT